GAGGCAGATCAGTCGCCGGCTTCTGGACGGCCGCTCACTGCGGCTGCTGGCCGCTCACGCTGGCTGCGGGCTACATACGGTAGCCCATGGCAACCCACTGCCACAGGGACTGCAGCCTACGCCGTCGCAAACATTTTTTCTTAATGAGGGATACAATACACTTGAAAGTATATGTACCTTCCAAATAACTTAGAACACAGAAGCGTCCAGCTATTTGTTTTGCCAGGTGCTGTGTACTCCTGAATATTTGAGAGGTACCGGGTTGGGCGAGTAGAGGAGTGAGGAATTAATGGTCGAACCCTCCTGCCCTCTTTGTTTTGCTTCGTAAGTTTGGATTGAAAGACAGATTGGGGTCTTTGGATCTGATTGAGAAGTGTTTTAGGCTCATTACAATGTGAAGGTTGACTACTATAAAATGAATGATCAGACAACCCCTGCATTAGAGGAGTGGAGAAGGTTGTAGAAATAATCTTAAATAACACCTTCAATTTAAAGTTGGAGAACTATGATCCAGAGATGCTAAAGGTCTTCTAATGTTAATAGATGTGTACAGTCAAGATGAGTTTAGAACCTAATTTCCTTGCCTTTAAACCAATACTCTTTCCCAAATACTTCTGCCCAGGAATGAAAACAAGAGGAAATTGGCTAAAATTCTAGAAGGAGGCATTTATAAAATCTATGAAAACTTCATAATAAGAGTTATCACAGCTGAATTACAATAGGCTAGTTGTAATAATCTCTAAATTATCTAAGAGATTAGATAATTAGGATTAGAGGATTAACAATTTGGATGTTTTATTAGAGTGTTCACTGGAGACAAGGAGATAGCTAGTTTCTAAAGAAACCCTTCTTAGTTCTCTGATTCTGTTTTCTCTTTGTAATTTAAATTAAGGAACTGAGGTCAAATAAAGATCAAGTTTCTTTGGGAGGCAAACTATGTTGAATCGTAGTAACCGCTGGGTTCTTTATGGGATTAGTGAGCTGGCCCTTGTCTTTACAGGTGGTTATTTGTATCATGCATTCAAGAGAGTGTTGGCCACTCTTTAAAATAACAGGACTTCTATTCACATGATTATTGCACAATCTGTGCATAAACGTTGTTTGAGTTTTCTATTGCAGCTGTAACAGGTTACCACAAACCCAATAGTTTAAAATAACGTAGTTATGGAGGTGAGAAGTCCAAAGTGAGTCTTAGAAAGTTAAAATCAAGGTATCAGCAGGGATGGTTCCTTCTGGAGGTTCCAGGGGGAGAGTCCATTCCAGCTCCCAGGGCTGCATCTTCAAAGCCAGCAGCTCAACATCTTCACTTCTCTGTCTCTCTGGGCTCTGCCTCAGTAGTCACGTTGTCTTCTGCCTCTGACTCTCCTGTCTCCCTCTTATATGGACCTTCAGACTATCTTTGCTCCACCTGCATAACCCAGGACAATCTTCACATCGCAAGATCCTTAACTAGATCCCACCTACAAAGTCCCCTTTGCCATATAAGGTAACATTCGCAGGGGATTAGGATGTAGACATCCTTTGGGTTGGGGGCACAGATGACCTTGAAGATGCTTTGAAGAATCAGAAATAATAAAGAACATTATTGAGCACACACATGCTTAAATGAATGCGCTGGCTCTCTTTTATTGTGAGTAAGCTTACCAGGCAGAACTATTTGGTGTCTCAAGTAGCCTCTTTAATACTTAGCTTAGAAATGGTTGATAAATTTTAGGACTTTATTCTTTAGGAAGTACAAGTATTTATTTAAGGACGTGTTTACATCTCTGATGCATTAGGAGTATATAACATGGATTTTTCTGTATTCAATTCTAACTTCATTTCCTAGAAGAAAATTGTATCAGAAAAAAAGATGTATGATATTTGTTGAAAAATGTATTTACTCCAGAGGTAAAAATCCATTAACCATCATTCTTAGTTTTGAAGTAAAGTTGTTGATTTCCTCCAGAATTGGCCTTTCTGTCCATGGAACTTAGTGTTAAATATTACTTCATCACAATGTACCTTATGTACTGTATGTACCTTATGATGGTAACAGTAAAAGAAAAACTTGGGGATTTTCACTTCTATAGTATCTGTTGAATACCCCCTGTGGAATAGGCACTGGGCTTAGTGTTGAAGATACAGGGATGAAAAAGATGAATTCCAGGAGCAGCTAAAACGCACGAGCAGACAACATGGAAGGACACCCGGGGGTCAGGGTCAGGATAGGAGGAGGGGCCACTCGAATATGTGCAGACTCACAGAAAGCCACCTGCGCTGACTCTTCAAGTGTGAGTCAGAGTGAGGCAGCTGAGAAAACTGGGAAGCTGGTTAGAGAAATAACAGGGTGAGAAAACGTGTGAAACTGTGGTATGGAGCGACTTTAATCTTGATTTTACTACAGCAGTTTCATCAAGCACTGATTTAAAAAAAATTTTTATTTTTAAATTAAAGCAAAATGCTTAATCTCTTTGACTCCCTTTTACTTTTTTCCAAAGAGGACCTGGAATTGCTGCTTGACAGGGTCAATGATTGGATCGAGTTCCGCATTGACGCCGTTCTGGAAGAAATGAGTCTCACGCTGCTTTGCCAGCTGCCCCAGGAGGAGCCACTCAGCTGCGAAGAGTTTCTCCAAATGACCACGGTTAGTGGAACAGTCATGTTTTTATTAAATGTTTTCTTTTTTTTTTTTTCCTGATTCATTTTTCTGCAAAGGGCATTTTTTGAAGCATAAATTTTTTTTCTCTACCTGTGACTGGCCTGTGATAGATGCAATTCAAACGTGGAGCCTTCTGACAATCATTTTAAAATGAAGGGAATGGATCTAGGGAGTCGCTTAGCATGAGGAACAAATAATTTCTTTTCAGATCAGCAGGAGGGAAATTGCTGTGGAACATAATTCTCGTTTTTTCATATTTTTTGAAGAATGGGGCCATTTAGCTGAAGAGCTTCTTGTAAGCTAGGGTTCATTAACAAAGCAATTGTTTTAAACAGCTCTGGACAGAATTTCTCCTTTAAACTTTTCTGTAGAGCAGCGTTTCCCAAACTGGTGTTCTGTGGCACACGGCTCCGGAGCCATTGCTGGGAAACTTTGGAACAGGAGAGTGTGTGTTCTGACTGCTCAGGGTAAAGACTGTACCCTCCTTCAGCCTTACAGATTCTTTACACATTGTCATATTAAAATAAAGGCCATCAGAAGGGCTCCTGGAAAAGAGCCCATTTAACTTTCTTTAACCGATTATTTCTCAAACTTATTTGCAAAGGGAACCCTTTCTTCTCTGTGCCAGGATTAAGATCATGGGCGTGGTGCTCCGTGAAGTGTCCCTGTGGGAATGTCACTTTAGCATCATTCACAATGATCCCGATAGCATCCTGATTATAAGACCTCATCAGTGATGATTTTAGTTTGGCATGTCAGGAGTCCCCAGGACCTTCCCCACTAGAAGGACCCATGGAACTCAGAATCTAGTTGTACTCAAGGCTAAGACTTACTACCTTGACGTTGTAAGGGTATAGTTAGAACATAAGGGAACAGACAGGTGGAGTTTGGAGGAATGTATGTGTGGGCTTCTTCATGTTGTCTCATAGGGCCACATAGAGCTTACTTTGTCCCCAGCAACAAAAATATAGCAACTTGTCTTATTAGGGAAACCACTTCATGGATGGTGTAGATGTTTGACCACTGTGCTGTATACCTGAAGCTGAAGCTGAATAATATTGAATGCCAACTATAATTAAAAAAAACAAACAAAACAAAACAAAATATATATATTTTGTCACTGACTATATATATATATATATATACATACAGTCATGAGATGTGGAGTACAGCATAGGGAATAGAGTCAATGGAATTGTAACAGCTATATATGATGTCACAGGGGGAGTAGATTGGGGGGGAGGGGGTTCTCACTTTGTGAGGAGTGTAAATGTATAACTATTATATTGCTTTGTACACCTGAAACTAATAAAAAAAATACCGCAACACATTTGCAATGTTTCTGCCCGAGGAAGCCCACTACAGACTGAATTCCCAAGGTTTTCGTTGGGTGTGGTCACATAGGCACCCCTGACTAGCATGGACCCAAATTGCAGAATCCCAGAAGGAACGCTGTTGCTCAGCACAGACCACACTGTTTGCACAAGCACCCTGAGAACAGTGAGCCAGTCCTGTCCGCTAGGGAACCGTGTTGTCTGTTTACGCGCTTCTTAATAAAATTGTGCTGCCCTACTCTACATACAGCAGATTTTGAAGTGTTTGTTTCTCAACGTTTTTTTGAAAAATATTTTTCATGTTGTTATACGTCTTTCATAGTTACCATTTTAATGATGCCTTCAGAATACTCTATTGCATTGATGGACCTTAATTTACTTTCTAGTTCCCTGTTACTGGACATTTCCATGGCTTGCAAAGTTTTGCTGTTTTGCCAAGAGCTGCAATGAATATATTTCTATGTAGCACGCGTTTTCCCCCTTTAAAATGATTTTCTCTTCTAAAGTAAGATTATTGCACCAAAGAATGGGACTTCATTTAATGGCTCTTAATATTTGTCACCAAATTGCTTTTCAAAAGGATGGTATGAACTTACAATGCCTTCAGCAGTGTGATAGTACCAATTTCACCATCTTCCAACAAACACTCTTTTATTATAATTATAATAAAATTTGTATTATAATAAATTATCTAATATATTATTATAAATAAAATGTAACAAATGCATTATAATAAATTCTAAAAAATAATTATAAATGTTATAGAACATTTTAGTTTAAGTAGCAAAATCATAGGACCTAACTTTAATTTGCATTTTTGATTACCAAAATAAATAACTACCAATATAAATGAATGATTACCAATGTAAATGGTTTTCTTTGAATTTGTTTACTTTTCATAATTTATTTATTCTTTCAATAATTTTTTGTGAAGCTCCTATGCAAACCACTGTTGGAGATACAGCACAAAACAGAGGAAATCCCTTCCATCATGGAACCCACTTTCAAGTGGAGGGTACAGAAAAATAAACAAAAAAGTCAAAAAGCAAAAAACATGGCAGGTGGTGATAAGTTCACTGGAGAAAAATTAAGAGGGTAATGGAGAAAAGGAGCACCTGAGAGGGCTGTGATTTTATATCAATGGTCAGGGATGACTTCTGTGATTACACAGGAAGTGAGTGAGCAAACCACGTGACTATCTTTGGGGAAGAGCAAACAGCGAGTGCAAAGGCCCCGAGGCAAAAGCTTGTTGTTATGGTAGCTGGAGGGAGATGTTTAGTTGAAGTTCATTGAGCGTGTTCATACGCTGAGGGGGGAAATCAAGTAGAGAAGGAGAAAGGGAATAGCTGGTAAGCAGTGTCTCTGGGGAAGCAGTGAGTCTGTGATTTAGAGCTCGGGTTTCATGATTGTTCTTGAATGGATGGAGAAACATTGCATTCCCTGAAAAAGGAGGAAAAGGGTAATGATAGAGGCCGGTTTATCTTCTGGGTGAAGGCATGGGGCCAGGGAGTTTGGTGTGTCCCTATATCATGGCCTCCACTTGCTTTGTGCTGTAGAAACCAAGGTCATTAGCTGAGCATGATGAGGAAGGGTGGCCTAAAGATTTGAGGACACAGCTGTTATGGGGCCAATAGAGGAATGTGACTGGCATGATGTAGAAGGATTCCTGGGTAGCATTAGGGGCCTGACCGAGTCGGGTTGGAGATGGACCATGAGTTGCCAGTGCCGAGCGCCTGTGCTGCCCTGACCTCTGTGTGCAAGTGGGGATGTGGATCACCTGCTTCGTTTGGGTTGGGCTTCTTCTGGATGGAACAGTGAAAGGCTGAGGGCGTGATGATGGAGTAAAGGATATTGGAAAGGAATGGTTGAAGTGAGAAATCATGTCATTAGGAGAGGATGTATACAGTCAGAGGATTTGAGATGCAGACTTAAAAAAATATTAGCCATCTCTCAGAGAACAAAGAGCTAGTTCATACGGAATGAGATGAACAAGCTTGGGCAAACATAAGCCCCGTGGTTATATGAGGTTTGCTGACCATTATAACAAGTATTCCTTGAGTGCTTACTTGGTGTTAGGCACTGTTCTTAATATCATACACACATTATCATCTTGAATATGCTCCAAAACCTAAGGTAGTTTCTACCATCACCACGATTTTATGTATTGGAGAATCATGGCCCAGGAGGATTTCGCAGAGTCACGCAGAGCTAGGATTTGAACCCAGGTAGTTTGGTGCTAGAGTTTATACTTGTCACTAGATGGTGCAAACTCTATCTCATCCCTTACCCAGTCTGTGTCCTGCCTCGTTTTTGTAACTGTCTCTGTCTCTTTTTCATAACTGTCTCTGAACTAGAGATTGGTCGTTGGGTGAAGTTCCGAGTTGGGAGTGAAGTAATAGTTTCAGGACACATGAGAATGCTCCTGTGTTAATGGCATCAAAATGCCACGTGCCCTGCAGCAGTGGAGTGGAGGTGAAGCTTGTGGGTGATGAGGAGGTAAATAAACCATGAAGCTGATGTTTGGAGTGGATGGTCCACGAGCACATTAGAGAGTTTCAGGATGAATAATGGCGGGATTTGGGATGGAGCTGGAGATGGTGACCACCTGACCGAGCCTATTGCTTCATGGGCTTATTCTCCAACTAGGTGGTAAATCCCTAATTGTCTACATCACCTGTCTCTGTCAATCCATCAGTTTGTCCATCCTATCTATCTATGATCTATCTATCTATCTATCTATCTATCTATCTATCTATCTATCTATCTATCTACCTACCTATCTATCTATCTATCATCTATCTATCTATCTATCTATCTATCTATCTATCTATCTATCTGTCATCATCTGCTGTCTTACAGAATTGATCACAGTGCCCCAATCATATTAGTTTATATGTGTTAAATCTCATTCTTGAGAAATGTGTAATCTAGATGGAGGGGAGGGGAATATCTAAAATTAATTCGGGCTGACTATGGCTTGTTGGCAAAGGTGAGGATGGGAGGAAGGCTGCCTAGAGCAGATTTATGTGAAATGAGGAAAGCTTCATGGGCAGAGAGCTGCTGGTGGCTTTTGGAGTTGTTTCCTCCACTGCTGGAGAAGTAATGTGATTTTGGTCCATCCATGCCACTCCATTGGTTCCTTTGTTCTTTTCCAGGATACCTGGCCTGGGTTAGTGTGAGGGGTGTGGCCAAGCACCACTGGAGGCCAAATTCTCACCTGGAGGCTGAACCTATGGCATCACTATCATCCTTATGTGCTTGCAAGAGCTAGATCAGCAAATGTAACACTGTGCTAAATTTTTTTGTTTTTTGATAGGACCTTTGTGTAAATGGTGCTCAGATACTACACTGTAAAAGCTCATTAGTAGAGGAGGCAGTCAATGAGCTAATAAATATGCTACTGGATGTGGAAGTTCCATCTAAAGAAGAAAGCGAAAAAGTATCCAATGTGAATGGTGCTGATTCAAGAAATGAAGGTTCAGGTAAGAGGGGGTATGTTTTTCTAGGACATCACTAAAAACTAAAATTTAACTTTTGACATAGCACTTAATTTCACACTTCTATAAACACCCTCCCAATTTTATAAGGACATTTATAGATCTGAAATTATGATTCTGAGCCTATTATAATGACTCCATGTAATTAATTACATTAGTATTTTTTAAATTATTTTTTATTGTGAAATACACATTTTTTAGAATTAGTTTCAGCTGTACAACACAGTGCACTAGTTATACTTACATTAGTATTTTTTAAACTCTTCAAACATGTACTTTACATTGGCCCATTAACTCTCTTTGCATTTAGGTGTGTGTGTGTGTGAGTGTGTGTGTGTGTGTGTGTGTGTGTTTGTGTGTGTTTACCTTACCAATAAAGTAGGCTAGATTATGGATTGGAATTCCCTTTGGAGTATAGCTGCACTAGAACGTTTTGTGGGAGAGATAAGGACACAGAGAAGGGAAGCTATTCTCCCAAGGTTTCCTGGCTGAGGACCCCTCAGTCCAGCTGATGCCCCAATTTCCTCTTCCTATCCTTTGATGGTCTCGCTTTCTAAGACATGTGACATTTAAGTGTTATCAAGCTTGCATGTAATTTATCTTAATTTTCCTCTTTTTAATTGTAATGGATGGTTCTCTCTCTCTCTCTCTCTCTCTCTCTCTCTCTCTCTCTCATCTCATAACAGCAAAAAGAGAAGGAAATCCCGACTCCCTAACGTCTTCCCTGACTGCCGGGGCCAGTCTCCTGCCTGTGATGACAATCACGAGGAAGAAGAAAGAGACTGAGATGTTAGAGGAAGAAGCCCGCGAACTGCTGTCTCATTTCAACCACCAAAACGTGGATGCCCTTCTCAAAGTTACCAGGAACACCCTGGAGGCCATTCGCAGGCGCATTCATGCCTCCAACACGATTAACTTCCGGGGTAATAGTCCCACAGAGTCAGCCTGTGGGTGGCTGGGCACAGTTCCTGGTGTGTGTGTGTGTGTGTGTGTGTGTGTGTGTGTGTGTGTGTTCCTGTTAAATTTAAAGAATTAAAAAACCCAGCGCTTATCGAGTGCCTCCTTGTAAGTTTATTCACTGTGAACTTCGATTTCCCCAACAATTCTATGGAGTAGATACTGTCATTACTCTCATCTGAATACTCATGTGGAAACTAGAGCACAGGGAGGCTAAGTGATTTGCTTAAAGTCGCTTAGCTTTTGATAACATAAGAGTTGGCATCACTGTTACTCTTTTTGCAATAAGGTGAAAACATGTAAAATGAATGGGTGAAAGAAAAAAAAAACCTCACACATTTTAAAAAGATCTAGAGAAAGAAAATTTCATTGTTAAATTAGTAGGCGATTAGCCAGTCTTATAAGTGAGAGAGATCTTATTAATGCCCTGCTCTTCAAAGCAGAATAATTTTTTTTTTACCAATTTTTTGTCAATTTAGTACTTTCCAGTTGGTTTCCTCATTCTCAATGCAATCATCTCTTCCTCAGCACAATTCAGAAAGAGATATTGCGTTTCCCAGATGGGCCACAAAAATCCATCACATCTAGAGAGACATTCTGAAATTAAATTTTAAATTAAAAATAGTAAAAAAACCCCCCAGTAATTAAAATGGAAAAACAATAGGATAATAAGGCCTTTTTATTTATTTGGAATATTGGCATTTTAGGGAAAGTGTCTCTAGCATTTAATTAAAAGTGGATGAATAAAAGTATAAACACTGAAATAAGTTTGTGATTGGTGGCATGGTTCATTATGTTTTATTATATTTCAGAGTGCAGGATAGTTGTTTTCTGTGACACAGGGATATAATTAGAGCTTATTAAATGTTGGTTGATATGCCGAATATTAAATCACATTTATTTCCCAACTTTATATATTATGGGTATTTTCCACTATATTCATAAAGTTACACACACACACACACACACACACACACGTCTATATTTATATACCTATACCTATTTTGAACGTATAAACCTCTGGGGTATAAGTGGTGAGTTACGTTTTATTTCTTCTCCACTTTTCAATTGCCCTGAGTTCGGATTATATGCACTGTGGCAGGAAAGGCATATGTTTTATTTGAAATTCCAAACTGGTTATTTGTTTTGACTTCGGCTTGTTTTGATCGTTGTTCTTGATTCCCTGGTTATTTATTCTACTTAACTAATTTGTTGGCATACTCTTATTTGGACAGTATCATTTTCAACATTTTAGATAAGAGTTTACGTAGTTAAAGCCTGATCCCACACAGTGGGGATCCTTTGTGGAGGGTGTACCAACAGATTGTAACAGAAGATGGCTTGGGTTCCACTGAGCTGCTCAGGGGAGCAAAACTAGACCCTCCGATAATTTTCATTCATTCCTTCATTCATTCAAGAAATACAGGTCTGATTATATATCTATAATATATTGTTGTAGGTGCTTTAATTTTTCTGGTTAATAATGAAATAAATCCCATTTTAAATTAAAAAGAGTAATCGTCCCCGTTTTGCATGACCTCAGACAGTAACAGTGCATCTCCGATGAAGCCCAACAGTCGGCCCATTTTCCGGGCTGGCGTCACTCTGGTCATTCCCAACATCGCCATGACCCCTGCCCTGGAAGACGTCCAGCAGACGCTGAACAAAGCTGTGGAATGTGTCATCAACGTTACCAAGGGGGTTAGACAGTGGAGTGGTGAGCTGTCGCCCACGGTGAGTGTGGGATGAAAGAATTATTGCATATGGAGGCTGCTGCTTTTACGGGTGGGACTGAGCTGAAAAATATCCCTTTCCATTGTAGAAAAAGATTCATGAAAGAAAAAGGGCTGCTTTGCAGAACGGTGAGGACAGTGGTTCTGATGCTGAAGTGGGAGAAAAGGAACCTCAAGGTACATGTTCTTTTAAGCTAGCCCTTGTAAACCAGTATTTATTGACCTAAAATATTTTCCTGCCATGCAATTCTTAGATCAGATTAGATCTGAATATTAATGAGCCAATTTTAAGTTTCCAAAATATAAATAAAGATTCATGGAATTTAATATCACAGTTGTGGGTGCATCATTGATTCCTGGTTGACTATGATGATGAGACCTGGGGGACAAGAAGGGCTTACGTTCTTAGTTTAAAGAGATACTTGTCTTTACCACAGTGAATATTTCCTCATATTCAAGAGACATTGTTGACCCGTTATGTGTCCTGTTTTGCCGGCATGCTGTGCCATGTGTAAAATGCTGTACATCCCATCATTTTCATTTTTCTTCTGTAAAATGTAGGGACATGTGACATGCAAGTTGCTGTACTTTAAGGAATATAATGTGGCAGCTCTGAAAATCTGATTTTCTTCCTCCCAGGTTCTGTTGTTGTTGTTACTATTTGTTTCTTTATTGACTTTCCTGGACTAAGTCTATAAAACTTGTCTTTCCTGTGGAGTGTACTATTATAATCTCTGCTTGATTAGTTTTCTGGTCAACTAGTGATTGCACAGGGATTTCCTTTCATTCTCTGACCCAGTAAGCCTTCCACTCTTTTCCTAGGGACACTGTGAATATTGGAGCGCCCCGAAAGCTCAGGAAGTTTGCAGCACTGCCTTAGCCTTTCCTTCCTGGTTGTGCAAAGCCTCTACTTCAGCCAGAGCTTAAAGACTGGAACATCTTTCAGTCTTTCCTGGACATGCGCACAGCTCCATACCTTCTAGAGCCCCAGGACTGTGTCAGGGATTTACGACGCCTTCCGTGGACATCTCATTCCCCAGATCTGTAACATTTTTGGCCAACCTCTTATTTGCCTCAACGAACATCATTGCTTTAAGGAGCTGTGACCTTACACAATTGTTGCCAATCATATTTTGACAAACACCTTGGGGATAGGAATTTCTTCTCAATGAGTTCTCAGTCAGGTCAAATAAAGATAAATTCTTTGAATGGGGCTTTTCCAGGAAGCATTCAGACAGGTCAAATAGGGACAATTTTGTGAGGCTTCCTGAGGAGCTCCGAACCCAGCCTGGGCCCTTCGGTGACGTCTAGGTGAGGAGTCTCAGAGTCATGGCGGTTGTAAGGCTGCTGAGTTTCAAAGCTTCTGCGTAGCCAGGGAGGGGGCAGTGGGCATAGAGCAAGTTCAACACCACAAAACTTGCTGTTATTACTGAGATTTAGCACTTTTTCTTGAATAAACAAATGTTCCTTTGATGGTTGAAAGCTTTGGTTAATTCCCAGAGTCCTGAAGAATTGATATTGACATTTTTTTTCAATGTTTTCAATTGCTTTTATAAAAAAGAAGATTTTCAAAGGTCCTTACTTTCCCATTACAGAAATCCCCTCCTCTTTTGAAAGCACGTTCCCTATGCTGTTGATATAAATTTTCTCTTTTTCTGTTTTTAGATACCTTTGAGGTAGCGTCTGTAAACTTACCCATTCCCGTGCAAACCAGGAACTATTATAAGAATGTCTCTGACAACAAAGAAATTGTAAAGCTAGTCTCTGTGCTTGGCACCATCATCAACTCCACCAAAAAGGTATGTCACGAGGTTCTTTCCTTTACAGCAGGCACCTGTGTGAAGCTGAACATCTCAAGCTTGTCCTTTATGTAGGCTGGGTCTCACCTGTGCCTGCAGTGAGCAGCTTATGACATCTTACACATGCCCAGCAAATGTTTGTTTAACTAGAGACTTTTTATTCTGATTTCAAGGTAAAAGAGAACTATTATTCCCACGTTTTCTATTGAGTTCTGTTTAATGCCTTTAACCTATTTATTTATTCAGTACAAATAAATCTGTTAAACAGTTTGATGTGTCCCAAACCACAACTTGGACTGGTGTTATCATTCACCTTCGTAGAGTCAGTGGTACTAGTACATTTGAAATAGAATTAGATTTATAGTCAATTCTTCATATTTGTGTAGTCAGGCAAATCTTTAAAAATATCAGATGAGAATTTATGTATGTTGCCATGTGGAAATCAGATAATGCTGAGAACAAAGAAAATATTAGTATTATCAATACAAACTGGACATGGATATAAATTCGGGTTCATTTTTATTTCTAACCTGCTCATCTCTCAACTTTTCATTTTTCAGGCAAATCTGTCCTTGTGGTCAAAAAGATTCAAAGCCCTGAAGTCAGTTTCTACTTAAATAAACTTATATTCACATTGCCACTGAAATCTGTTGACTCTTTAAAATGTTTCTCAGTGCTGAGGGAATAGTTGTCACTCAGTAAATATATCTCTTCTATTACTTAGTTTTGATAGAATGATTTCATTTGTTTAAAAGCATTTTGAAAGGCTGCCATTGCTGTAACTGTGTGAGGAAATATTAAGTTAATTTTAATGTGTTCTCGGGGGAACGGGAAGCTTTTGCATTTATGCATTTCCAATTTTCCTTTCTTAATATATTGAAGGTCTTGTATTTAATTTTGCCCTAGGGACAGTGTTCACATAATTCAATTTAACAAATATTTATCTAGTGCTTAGTTTATCACGCTCTATACTAAATGATAAAGCTACGTGGAGTATTCTGTAATGATAATAAACATTCAGATATATTTCCCAGTGTCTCAGTAATCATGGAAAATACAATAAATTAAATCAACGATAAGATCCATTGCTTCCTGTGAATATAAGCAGCCTCTATTATGAAAAACTAAGGGCAAGGCTTAGTAGTAGTAGTAACATACTTTTGGCAACAAAATACTTATTTCTGTGTCATTTTTGTTGCATCTGGTTTTGAAGGAAATGTACAAATCTTAGTCTTCCTTAAAATAATAAAAAGGGTTGGTTGGCACTTAGAATACCTTGAAGGACTTTTTCCAAGTTGATAGGGTGGCCAGATTGCCTCTGGAAGAAAATAGGCACCTTTGGTCATAATGCCAGACATGGCCTTCCTCTACAGCCATAGACCCTTCTGAATGGTTTTCCCTTAACCACAGAAAATCCTAGGACCCAGCCCCTTTCCTCTTGCCATAGCTGATTGGATCGGAATGTAAACCTGACCTACATCTAGCACTTCCATAGGCTGGTCATCAACTTACATCATTGCCTGGCTTGAAAAGACGAGCTAGGTGGACCAAACAATGAAAATAACGTTGGGGCGAAGATTACTTAAGTAGAACCGTTCTACGTATATAATTTATGTAATTTTTTCCTTTAAGCTCTAGGTTACCTCCACTCTAAAAAATACCAATTTAATAAAGACTGACACTTTGAGGTAAAATAAATATGAGTCTAAAACTTGTTTAGTTTGGGCATATCTTAATATTATCAACTCTTGGATATTGAAAGAGCTCAGGATTCTGGAACTTCTACCTGTATCTGGGTGTCTTTGATAATCTGTAATTCATTCAACAAACCTTCATATATTTAATGTGAGTATGTTTATCTGCTGTTGCAGTGCATTCTGGGCATTCATGTCAACACGTCAGCCCATGCCAAGGGAGCATGTTGTGGTTGGGACAAGCAGTGTCAGGCTTAGCTTTCTGCATTTTAATGAGTGGGAAGTATCATACCCATTAAACATGAGACTCAGAGAGACATTTTAGCTGCATGTCGGGAGTTAGAGTGAAACTATTCCTTGGTTTGGAGCAGGTTGGTGCAATTTGCTTAATGTAATTGGACCATTTAGAATGCTGTTCGTAAAGCTCTGTTTTTGCAAACAATTGCATTTTCAATTTGATTTCAGTTTAAAAAAATTTTTCTCATGAAGATGTAACATTGAAATTATAATATAAGCCAATTATAATATAAGCCAGTAGGAATCACTGATGTCTAAGAGGTATAAGCATTATAAATGAGGAGATACATTTTTAATTGTTTGTAGATGATATGATTATCTACCAAGTAAATCCAAGAGGCTAATGTGAAAAAAAAATTATGGCTCAATATGAGTTAGGTTAGTAGTCAGCAGGAAGATAATTGTCAGTATTTCTGCTGTAATATAAAAAGTGTGTTCCTGAAAATCCTGTTGTACAAAGTTGCACATTTAGTAAAAATACGAATTATGAGAAAAACAGGATTGAGACAGACTCCCCAAAACCTCTGTAACCAGAGTAGCAACAAAAACAATAACAACCATAGTAAAATATTAACCTGTTGAATAACAGTCTAATGCGTATAGAATTTTACTATCAAATGGTGGGAGAAACTTGGTCGAAGGTGGTGTAAGAAACAGCTGAAGCTGCTGAGTTATGGAAACAAGGATAAAATATACAAAGATCAGGTGGAACTGTGCAAAGAACTTCCTCAAAACAAAGTGGTGACTAAGTTGGCCCTAAGGAAGAAGAGGTAGAGGGGGCGTGGCATAGGATTGCGCCCCTTCATGGCTTTCTGCTTTAGCTAGTACAGAGCAAAGTGCTGGGAAAAGTAACTTTTGATAATAATGTGACTTCCTCATTTATATTGACATTTTCCCCTTGTTACCAATTGTGAATGAGTGGATTCATCTTATAGAAGCACTCTTTGTAGAAAACAGGACTGTTTATTAAAAAAGTCACTTTTTAAAGCTTATATGCCATCTACAGCTAGTTATAGTGGGAAACAGCATCATTGAAAAATACCTGGGAATATACATACTAAGAAGTGTGTGGGGTCTCTATGAAGATTACTCTAAAATAGAACAAGGAATTTAAAAACCATGATTGGAAGATTTGGAAACAATACTATCTTCCTGAATGGGAGACTTAATACCATGCAAATGTCAATCCTTAGCAATGAATTTATGCAACCCAGGCAATCTTTCATTGGGGTTCGATGCTGGAAATGTTCTGTTTGCCCCTATGGAGATCTAATCTCCATTCTGACTTTAGGGAACAAGTCAATAGGTTTCCATTGAGGCTTCTAGTAAATTCTACCAAGTAGAGTCTTGGAGGAGAACTGAGGGGTAGGGTCATGGGGAAAGAGTAATATCAAGAGTATTTTTTCCCCTATAGCACTCTCTGTGGCATGATTTTGAGCTGTGGTTTTTGACCTAAGGTCCAACTCCCATCAAGAGGGCCTGCCCACAAGAGTCTTCATGGACTGTCTATTTCCTGTTTCTAGTAGCTGTCCCCCTCTTCTTTTGGCTGAGGATGGTCACGGTTTCCCTGTTACTAGTCCTGGGTTACTATTTACACTATTGTATATAGTTCAAATTCTGTGGCATTTCCAACTCATCACACAGTTAACTAAACAGTTTATGAATCCATAGGAACCACCAACAGTTGGCTAATACACTCATGGATAGCATGCCATCTCTGACTCTGCCTTCTCAACACAGGTCTGTTATTTGTATCCTAGGAAGTTATCACTGCCATGGATTGCTTCAAACGCTACAATCACATTTGGCAAAAGGAGAAAGAAGAAACCACTATGACGTTTATTCTGAAAAACCCTTTGCTTTCTGAATTCAAATCCCAGATTCTGTATTTCCAAAACCTACAGCAGGAAATTAATGCAGAGCCTGAATATATCTGTGTGGGTGCCATTGCTCTGTACACAGGTTGGTTCGTTTTCTTTCAGACAGCCATAAAAATTCAACAGTAGTGTTCTGTTCCTTTACTTAGATTAGTGTTCCAGAGAGTTCTAGCTATCTTAAAGACTGACTTTTCTTTTGTGGGTCTCAAGCTTTAAGACCAATTTGTAGATTTATTTTTAATCCCCTTCTGAATAATTATTTATTATGGACTCTTTTGAATATTTTGCTGCTAAACCTTGAAAATATATGCTAATTCAGAGAAAGGGGATCTGTTATATTTGGAATGAAAATTTACCCTTTCTTTAATAAATAACAGTAACAAACTTGAGGCTTGTCTCCAGTGGTTTGAGATGTACTTTGTCTCTTTTTTAGCATTTTGAAATATGTTTTCAAATGCTGGAAAACAGGCTTTATAAAAATAAATGAATATATAATTATGAAGAAACTATTAATTTTTATTTCCAGTTTGATTTTTCATATGTTAGAGGGCGATGAGCTGCATAGTCTTTACTATTGGTGAACAGTTGCACTGCGTCTTCTCCTACTGGTTCAAGTTTTTCAGACTTAATTGTGGACATGTGGGTTTTACAGCCGACTTGAAGTTCACCTTGACTGCTGAGACAAAGGCCTGGATGGTTGTCATCGGCCGTCACTGTAACAGAAAATACAGGAGTGAGATGGAAACCATTTTTACGCTTGTTGAAGAATTCAATAAGAAACTGAATCGTCCAATTAGAGACCTAGATGATATTCGGATTGCTATGGCAGCACTGAAGGAACTCAGGGAGCAGCAAATTCCCATTGACTTCCAAGTAGGACCTATCGAGGTAACTGATGATCATTTGTTTATTGTAGAAATATCTCCACATGTCGGGTGATAGTAGCTGAAATGCTGACCAGGCCTGGACTGTAGCTACTGGATGCTAAACCTGAGAACAACACGATGTCTGACCCTCAGAGGGGGGCCTTCTGTGGGCCAGTGCTCATCCTTCACGTGTCACCTAAGCTCCCTAAGAGCAGAGCTTGAGATGAGGGTTTCCGAACACGTGATTTATTGAGAGTGTTCATGGTAGAAGGAGAAGGAGGGAAATGGGAAAGGATGAGCTTGGCTTGGAGGTAGGGAAGCTCAGTGAGGGTGTGACCCCAACTGTAGACTGACTTCAGCCTGGTCCTATGGGGAGCTCTGGCACATGAGCCGTACCACACCGCCATCCCACCTTGAGGTGAGTGGCACTGCCCTTTGCACCCTCAAGTCTGCTCATCACTGACCATAATCTTCCCATGAGGAAGCTTCTATTCAGCTGAGGACAGTTTTCCAGGGAAGAAGGCAGCTTGATCCCTGCAGCTGCCACTCCCAGCCACTGGGGAGGCAAATACCAGCTGGTAAACAGGACCCAGATGGGGCGCTAGCAGTGTCCATTCACGTATTAACTCTGTATTAACCGGTTTCATCCTTACTGCAACCCCACTTTATGCACAAGGAAGCTGAGGGGCAAAGAAGTTTTGCAATTTGACTGGTGTTACCCATTGCTTTTGTTTTTAGTATCATACGATCTTTTCTAGATGAAAATGCTTTTATCAGGAGTGGGTCACTATATTTATTCTTTTAAATGTGACTAGTATAATTGTAGCATTAAAACAATTGCAGACATAAGAAAACATTATCTTTTTTTCACACCTTGACTTGAATGTCTGGACTTAAACTTGGATGCTCAGGCTCGTACTCTAATCTCACACTTTCTGGACCCCTCTTTGAATTTTGGAAAATTGTAGGTTATTGTGAAAATGGCACTGATAACTGAACCTTTGCACCTCTGCTGTGTTGGGTCAGGGAACTCCCATGGTCCACTGTGCTCTTCATGGGAACTGAAACTTCAAGGGAAGAGTCCTTGTTTAGTGTAGGACCAGAGGGGGTCCCTGGAGGCCCAGAAACTGCCAACCCTGCCTTCCCCCACCTGAGAGTTAAGACAAAGCTGTAGTCAAGTAGCCCAGATCAAAAGACAATCTTAATTATAGATAGAACTTGTTTGGAAGACATGGTGTAGTGTATAACTCCCATCTTCCCATAATACCCCTGTCCCATCTCCCCACCCTACACATGCACCGTATGGGCTTGTGAATGCTAAATCCTGGAGTGGGCTTCCCCACCCATCAGAGGCAGCATTGGAAAGCTGCAGGCCTCTCTGTAACTCTGCTCCATTTTGTTGGACAGGGTGCTGATCAGAGGCACGCCTTCCAGGAGAAAGAGGGAAGAGGGGAGACACCCTGGGCTGTGCCCGCTCAAAGCAGCAGCCTTTTCCCCAAATTGACAATCAGGTGTCTATTCTGCCTCTGTGGGGAAGGGTGATGGTGGGAGAAGCGACCAGGGATGTTTAGGGCAAGTCCTTTCTCAGGAAAACCAACCTTTGTCCCATTAGTCTTCTAGCCAACAGAGTGATCCAGGAGTTTGCATCCTTAGCATGTGGACTTGGACTGCTTCTTACCCTCTGTGTCTTACTTTTGGAAATTTTTACAAATAAAGTGAAATGGGGTAGAGTTAAAACCCTGATTTATTTTGTGATTCTTAAACTAGCCATTAAATTGTTTTGTTTTTCATTTAGTTGGTATAATTTCATAGTTTTCAAATACAATTTAGGGGCCTAAGTATGAATAAAAACACCTTTTATTTGTACAATGATTTTTTAGTTTTCAAAGTGCATTTAAAATGATATTTTTTTGATATTCAGAAAAAACCTGTGAGGCAGTCAGGGAATTTTCCCATTTTGCAGATGAGGAAGTGAGTGTTTAGGGGCTCAGCTGCTCATTTGAGCTTTTCCAGTTTGTAAGTAGAGTAACTATAACTCTGGTTGAGTTCCCTATCATGGCTACCTTTTCCATTCTAATTTGTTAAATAGTGACTATGTGTAGATTTATGTATCTGACTGGGAGGATTTACATTTTTTTTTCTGTTGTGTAGGAATCCTATGCCCTCCTGAACAAACACGGGCTTCTGATAGCGAAGGAAGAGATGGACAAAGTTGATACTCTGCGCTATGCGTGGGAGAAGCTTCTGGCGCGTGCCAGCGAAGTTCAGAATGAACTAATCTCACTGCAGCCCGGCTTCAGGAAAGAGCTGATCAGTACCATGGAGATCTTCCTCCAAGAGTGTCGCCACTTCTATGTGGACTATGATTTGGTACAATTCTAACTTTCTCTGTATGCGTTTTTGGGGGAGAGAGAATAGAGCATGCAAAATGTGCGTGTGTGTGTGTGTGTGTGTATGTGTGTTACATGCTATTGAGTTGGCTCTGACTCCTGGTGACCCTGTGGATGAGTGACATCCACAATGTCCTGTCCTCCCAGCCCTGCTCAGCTCCTGTGGACTTGTGGCCGTGGCTTCTCTTATGGAGTCAATCCATCTCCTACCTGGTCTTCCTCTTTCCTGCTGCCTTCTATTCTTCCAGCATTATTGTCTGTACCAAAGAACCCCGCCTTCTCATGATGTGCCTGAAGTAGGACCGCTGCGGTGTTGTCATGTTTGCCTCCAGTGATGTTTCAGGCTGAATTTGCTCTGGGACCCACTTGTCCATCTTCCTGGTGGCCCAGGGTCTCCACAGAGCTCTCCTCCCCACCACATTTCAAATGATGCCATTTTTTTTCCTGCCAGCCTTCTTCACTGTTCCACTTCCACATCCACACACAGTAATTGGGAATACGAGGGTGTGGACGCAAAATGTAGTCATTGTTTCAAGATCATGTGCCAAATTTCATGAAATTCCCTAGGAATGGGAATGTTGTTTTCGCAAGAGCAAAGGCATTTTCCTTTCACAATCCTTTTCCCTTAGAGTTCATCCAGAATAATTTCAGCAGGAAATAGGGAATGTAAATGTGCTGTTCATATCATATCATTGGTCTGTTGCAGAAATTGTCTGATAGCTTTCTAAATGTGTGTAGGCAAATACTGTTAGCACGTAGTTACAATGGTGGTCCTTTCCATCTTATTCATTAGTTCCACAAGCACCGTCAAGCTCCCAGTGTGTGCCAGGCGCTGCCCTTGGTGCTGAAGACACAAAAGAGCCCACACATGTATGAATTTTAGTGTAGAATCTTCTATTTGGAATATGTTGTGTAATGAGACCCATTTTTAGCCAATTATAATGTGCTAAGAAGGGAAATATGCAGAGGATTGGGTAAAACCTGTGCCTATTAACTAGCAGCACACCCAACCACAACATTAGTTAGGCGAGTGAGTCCATGCACTATCTCCATGGATGAAGAAAGTACAGAAATCCACATATTTAGGCAGGAAAGCCTGACTGGAATGTTAAGAGTATAGGTTACTTTACAAATACGTTGACAGTAGAATGGTGAAATCTGTAGTTTTGTGGCATTAGTGTTTCAGTTCAAAACCAGACATTATATGTGCTTCCTATAGAGTAGTTATTGACCTTTGCCTTGTCACCAAAGAAATGAATAGCACATATTTTTAATTTTCCAAATTTCTTGACATGTGGAAGTTGTGGCATTAACTTGTAGTTAGACTTGAAAAGATTTCCAAATGAGTCACTTTCATAAGTGCTATTTTTATAAAGAAGAAACTCTGTTTCCTATCATGTGCCATGCATGAAAGCTAACTTTGATATTCAAATACCTTGAGCTCATGAAATTTGTATGCAAAGACTTCATTCTGTTTTATGTTTATTTTAACTTTTTGTTTCAGAATGGTCCAATGGCTAGTGGCTTGAAACCCCAGGAAGCCAGCGATAAGCTTGTCATGTTTCAGGTAATCTTTTTAGTTTCTGTGACCTTCTAAACACCAAAACCTTAATGTGTTTTAAACAGAGATTCCCCCGACCCCCCACTTTGATACAGAAAGGTTTATTGTGGAATATGGTATGTACTTACATTTAAAAATTACGATTTGGTGTGGTTACAATTAGAGTTGGTTTTAATTAGGGTCACAATTAGTATGGTTACAATTAGAGTTAGTGTAACTAATTATACTCATTTAGCATTTCTATTTACATGTTTGCTGATTTGCCAATCTTTTTTTTCATTTGCATGTTTATTCATGTGTAAGTCATTTTGATGAGTTTTCACGTATTTTTATTAGAATCAATTTGATAATATCTACCGAAAATACATCACCTATACTGGGGGAGAGGAGCTTTTTGGTCTGCCAGTTACCCAGTATCCTCAGCTTCTCGAGATAAAGAAGCAGCTAAATCTTCTCCAGAAAATCTACACTCTTTACAACAGTGTCATAGAAACGGTGAATAACTACCATGACATCCTGTGGTCAGAAGTGAATATTGAAAAAATCACCAGTGAACTCTTAGAGTTCCAGAACAGGTGAGAAATTAACTGCTTCACAGGCCCAGAGCTATTGAATGGCAAATGCTTCCTCCTTTGATTTGGCTGTCAGGTTTTCTTCTCTCACCAGGTGATTTGAAAGCACATTGTGCTGCCTCACTCTTGTCCGTCAGACATCACCTTGTCAAATGCTATTTATTAATTACCACTGTGTATGTACATGGGGAGAAAGCACATCCTTTAAACCGGGAGGAATCTTGTCAGGGGCTTTTCTGCAGCCCAGAGGAGCTGATCCCTATTTATATTATACTTATCAAACATTCGAAGTTTATGTTAGATGATTTCCTGGAATAAAAACAACAGCCCCAAGATTTTTCGATGTCCTTTCAAGTATTGAACCAAAAGAAAGTGGAGGGCCATTTGTTATACTTTTTGGTTGACAGCCTGGTACACTGTGCTGTGCTTTGTACTTAGTAGGGTCTCAGGATGTGTTTGTAGAACCGAATTGAACGTGGAGGCACCTCTGTCCTTTGAAATAATGGCTTTTATCTGGTTAGCTATTATGAAGGATTGTAAAAAATCTTTCCTGATTGGGAGGAGAATTTTCTGTAGTATAAAAGTATATTCTACTTGTATTAACAGATACCCTCTGACTCATGAGATTTAAACATGTGAGAGGTATTTGAAGTGACTGTTTCTGAGAGATGTGCTGGCAGACAGTCTTGGACTAGAGACTTCTGGGTTCATATTCAAGTGAGCTCTCACGGTGTCTTCCTGTCGCAGGTGTCGGAAACTGCCCCGGGCCTCCAAGGACTGGCAGGCTTTTCTGGATCTGAAGAGAACCATTGAGGATTTCAGCGAGTGTTGCCCACTGCTGGAGCATATGGGCAACAAGGCCATGACAGACAGGCACTGGGAAAGGATAGCTGCCCTCACCGGGCACAGTCTGGACGTGCGGAACGAAACTTTTAAGTTAAGAAACATCATGGAGATACCTCTGCTGAAATACAAAGAGGAAATAGAGGTACAGCTGATAAAAAGTGTGCTGTGGTGGGAGGCTGGAAAGTCTCGTGGGATTTATTTGATAGTATTCCTACATCGTGGGATATTGGAGTGGTAAACTTTGCCAGGACGTTTGAATCCCTTTCCCTGGCATTCAACTGTTCATTCCTTCAACAAATATTTCTGTAACAAATGAGGATGGATTCCTGCATTCATAGCTCATTAAACAGTTTGTTTAAATTAAATATTTATACAAATAAGGTTACAAGCCATGGTAAGTATCATTGAAGGAAAAGCCCTCAGTGCTGCTCAATGGAGACCCTATAATAAAGGGGCTTGGCCTGTCTGAGAGGAGGGTACAGTGATAAGGGTAGAAAAGGGTGGGCTGCGTGAAAAGGGTTACTTCATGCAGGGAGTCTGGTTGTGTGGTGGGGGAGAGGGGCTTGGAAAGTATAAAAAAGACAGTGCCAGGCAGAGGGAAAGGCATGAGTGAAGGGTCCGAGGGATGTATGGGGGACAAGAAGCCCAGAGTGGCGGGGGTCTGAGCATGGAGGAGAGACGGGACAGCTGAGGGTGGGGACATGGAGTAGGGCTAGGACGTGTTATTGATTTTGGGAGCCATCTAGGAGACATATTTTGAACAGAGGATGCCAAGGTCAGATTTTTATGAAGATCACTCTGGTAGCTGTGTGGAGAAAGGATTGGAGGAGGGCAAGGGGAGAGGGTGGGAAAGCCGACCGAGAGCTGATAGGAACACCCCAGCAAGAGATAATGGTGTTGGGTGGGGGAGCAGATAGTGAAGCTGGAGAGGGGAGAAAAGATTGAATAGGTGTTTAGGAGGTAAAAACAGGTAGAATTTGGTGATGGAGGGAATCTGGTAGGAGAAGCAAGGGGAAGCTAGATTTGCTGTGAGATCTGGATGGATGGTGGTATTTATCACTGAAATAGGGACTGCTGGAAGGGAATCAGGTTGGGTGACAATGGACAAAGATGGTGAGCTTGATTTTGGGCATGAGTTTGATATTTCACCAATGGTGTCTGGGGTTCCCTTGACACATCCAAGCAGAGAAATCCAGTAGGTGAATGGATGTGGGTGTTGCCTGGAGGTACAAAAGGTTAGTGGCTGCATGGGCATAGATCGCTCACCCAGAGAGGGCATGTGAGGCGAGAGCAGGACTAGGACAGGGCTTGACTCATGGTCCCGGAGAAGACGAGGCTGCAGAGGAGCCTGGGAAAGTGAGCAGAGAGCTGGGAAGAATCAGGTTTCTGCCGGTCCTCTCCTCTCATTCTGCACCAGTTTGACTTCAGAGGTTAAGCAGAGACACATTAAATTTTGAGTCTTTGATTAAAATTTCAAAATTTAAAAGGTTATTGCATATTTTTTATCCCGATTTAAAAAATTTTGTTATACTCGACATATAACTTTGTGTAAGTTTAGGTGTACCACATGTTGATTTGATACATTTATATTGCAGTCATATTGCAGCATTCGAACACCTCTATTTCATCACATAATTTTCATTTCTTTGAGTGGTGTGAGAATAGTTAAGATCTAGTCTCTTAGCACGTTTAATGTTTATAGTACAGATTTGTTGCCTACAATCAACAGACTGGGTATTAGATCTTCAGGATTTATTAATCCACTAGGTGCCAGATTGTATCCTTAAACAGCTTCTCCCCACTTCTCCCACTCCCCAGCCCCTGGTAACCATTCCACTCTCTGTTTTTTTTTTTGAGTTTGGTGTTTCAGATTCCTCATATAAAGGGTATCAGATAGTATTTATCTTTCTCTGTCTGACTTATTTTACTTAATCTAATGTTCTCCAGGTCCATCCATGTTGTCTCAAAGGCAGGATTCTCTTTCTTCTGATGGTTGAATAATATCCCATCATTGCATGTCTTTTCTGTTATTTTTCTTTCTGGAATAATTTGGTGGGAAATTTTTACAAATGAAGGCTCTGTTATTTAGTAATATTTCTATCTCCATCTCTATTCCTAAATCTCTACCTACATACACAACGACCATTTATTACATTGCAGTTTAGACCTGGAAATATGGGTATTTTTAGATACATATGAAGCAAAGAGTGAAGAACCTAGACTATTCCAGCAGGACGTGTGACTTGCATGTGATAAAATGAGAGCCTCCAATTTTAACAGGACATCTGTGTCAGTGCCGTGAAAGAGAGAGACATTGAGCAAAAGCTGAAGCAAGTGGTTCACGAATGGGACAACAAGACGCTCACGTTCGGCAGCTTTAAAACCCGCGGGGAGCTCCTCCTCCGAGGGGACAGCACCTCAGAAATCATCGCCAACATGGAGGACAGCTTGATGTTGCTGGGCTCCCTGCTGAGCAACAGGTAGGAGAGCCTCCATCTCTTCCCTGAGATTTCAGACTCATCATAACACACATTTCAAGAAAAGTGAATTAAAAAAAAAAAGCAACAATATCCCTTATACAATTTACTCATTATTAACAGCACTTGTTTTAATTTTAGCCTTTGGCACAGCGTGTGAAACACTGTTTCTATTTCATTATCCTCTATTTGTGGGTGTGTTTGAGACCACCAATTGGACACAATAATGCAGCATATAATGAACCACTTGGATCGTGTGGAACATTTTAGCTCTGCTGCTGATAAGCAGCCTCACCGCATAGAAGACAGCTCAACAGGCTCGAGAGTCCAGGGCAAAAATTATCCTGATTTTCAGAATGATCACGCTACTTGGAAAACCTTTTTGCCAAGTTATGGACTTCGAGCCCTTAGTGGTGTGCATATTTAATGAGATGGTGGATCCAGATAGAGAATGAGTTTAATTCACGCTTCAATTTGACAGTAACAGCAAAGCCTTCATGCTTCAGCCAAGCAAGCCATAGACTCATGAACTCGTATTTCCTTGGTTCGTTGCTTCCCTTTGCTCTTTCTGATGTAATTTTTGTTCACCAGGTGCTTCTCAAGTACATGGTAATTGTGTAGAACCTTGGTACCATTGAGATAGGAATTGTGTTATTCTGTCTTTAAAATGCCACTCTGTTCCCTGCATATATGTGTATTCCATAATTTTAATGTAGGAAGTAATAACTACTTAATACTGTTTTGATAAAAAATTTCTCTTTTTTCCACTTACGTGGTAAACATGTATTTGAAATGAGTAATATAAAATATAAACTTAGATCTCTGAGATTTAGACCATTGGTAACCTCGAGTCTGACCTACTTAGGATTTGGTGAGTTTTAACGAATTTGGTTACCGTTCATACCTAACCAGAATAAGGGACAGATGGAAGATAACGCATCCTAGGGAGGTAAAAAAGGCCCACGTATAAATCAAGTAAAAATTATTTATGCTAGGGATGGGGAAACTTTCCTTACTGATGGCATCGACTCCACAGACAGAGTCATGTGAGAAACACGGATTCAACATAAATTTGTTGAACACCCACTATGTGCCATGCACCCTTTTTGGTGCTATGAAGAGAAAAGTGAATAAAACAAAGGTCTCCATTGCTATGGAACTATATTCCTGTGAAAAGTATAAACAAAACCCCCCAGAAAGATGTATGGAATACTAAAACAGCCTGTTTAACAAGAATAGGGAAATTAAAAATTTATTCACTAATCTGACTAACGTTTGAGAAGACTTCAAGCCCATATACTGTTAGACTGGTGAGATTAATAAAGGGAGAAGAAAGAAGAGAAAAAAGTAACAATAGGCAGTATAATCATGTAGGATTAAGGTTTTTTGCAAATAACAGAAGCACCACACACAACGTCACTTTAACAAACTGAAGTTTGTGTCTCTCACATGTAAAAGCAGCTCCAAGGTTGGTGGTTCAGGTTGGAGTGGGGGTTCCACCGTGTCACCAGGGACCCAAGCTTTGTCTGGCTCACTCTTCCGTCTTTTCTAAGTGTGACCCTTCTGCTCCACACTACCCCTTACATCTAATGTTGATGCTTACTTTTTATCTAGAATCGTGACTACATACTAGACACACCTAGGGAATTAAAAACAATCCCACCCTCTGGGCTACATCCCAGACTGATTGGATCAGAGCCTCAGGGATGGTACCTAGGCAGGCACTGGAGCTTTAAATGTTTGCCGGGTGATTTCAGTGTGCAGCTAAGGTTGAGAATTATTGATGTGGAATGTAGTCCTGGGACTGCTGCAAAGGAGTTTGGGAAA